TCCCCAATGTCCCCTCACGGTCCCTGGTGTCCCCCCGTGTTTGCACAGTCCCTGGTGTCCCCCTCACAGTCCCCGATGTCCCCTCAGTGTCCTCCCGTGTTTTCACAGTCCCCTCCTTGTCCCCTCACATTTCCCGGTGTCCCTTCGGTGTCCCCCCGTGTTTCCACACTCCCCACGGGTCTTCTCAAAATCTCCGGTGTCCCCTGAACGTCCCCCTGTGTTTTCTCAGTCCCTCGGTGTCCCCTCACTGTCCCCGCCGCTGTCCCCTCTCCCGCCCAGGCCCCGCACGGTTCCCGGCCTCCGCCGCTTTCTCCCGGCCCTGACCCGGCCTCGGCCCCACTGTCCCGGTCCCGAGGGTCCCCACCCGGTGTCCCCACCCGGAACTGTCCCCAGGGCACTTGTGGGGACAAGGACAAGGGTCCCTCCACGGTGCCCACCGAGCCCGGGGACTCAACGGGAGCAGCCGGTTCGGTACCGGTGGAATCCCCGGCTCCGCTCCCGGTGGATCCCGCAGCCAGGCCCGGGGCCGAGCCTAGCCCAGCCGAGCCTGGCCTTACCTCCATCTCCGGAGCACCGGGAGAACCGGGCCCAGAGCGCTCCGGGCGGCGGATCCAGCTCCAAACCGGGAAAATCAAGGAATTCTGTGGGCTTTTTTTTTTTTTTTTTTCCACCAGAAGCGCGGGGATGGAACGGGGCGGCGGCTTGGGAGGGCCCCGGGGGCTCGGCGGGGCCGGGAACGGGGATGCTCCGGGAGAACGCGGCCGCTCCCACCCCGGGCTGGGCTGGGTGTGCTCGGTACGGCGCGGGGAGCGAGGAAAAGCGCGGATATTGATAATAAAAACACCGATAAATCGTGCTGATAGCGCTAATAGGACTAATAATAGGAATAGTAACGCCACTAATAATAGCAACGCTAATAGCGACACTAATACCGCTAATATTAACGCTAATTAAAACAACAACAACAACAGCGCTAAACCCAACCCGAAAACAACAACAGCGGCACGATAAAAATCGGATTTTTTTAATTGGCGTTGTTTTTAGAACATTATTGGTTTTGAAGACCTGGGAGCCCGCGGAGGAGCTCGGATCCCATTCCCGGCAGAAGCGGAGGCGGCTCGCACCCGGAATTTCCCCTTTCCGCGCTTCCCCTTCTCCCGGAGCAAATCCCTTCCCGTTATTATTCAAAATAATCGTGGGGATAACGAGAAAAAAAAACAACAAACACAGAAATAATAAAATAAAATAAATTTTAAAAACAGCAGGAAAGGAGACGGAGCCGTAAGGAGGCGGCCGGAGCTTAGCGGGCACCGGGGCCGCTTCTCCGCCGCTCGTTCCGCGGCCTCAGCCGCCGCTCGGGCCCGAGGCTCGGCCAAAGGAGGATTTTTCGTTCCAGCAGCTCCCGGGTGATCGCTGCCCTCCGTCTTCCCGGTGGGACCGGCCCGCGGCCTCTCCCCGCGGTCCTGGGGGGCTCAGGCCGCAAAGCGAGGTGGTTTGGGAGTAATTTTCCTTGTTTTCGTTAAAAATGGTTGGTTGGTGTTACATCCACCAGCGGGCCCGGTGGCGGGGCACAGCGGAGCCCGGCTGTTCTGCTGTCTGGTTGTCCTGCTGTCCGGTTATCCGGCGATCCGGTTGTCCAGTTGTCCGGTTGTCCGGTTATCTGGTTATCCGGTTGTCCGGTTATCCGGTTGTCCAGCTGTCCGGCTGTCCGGCTGTCCGGCCTTGCTGCAGCCCCGGAGAACCGGGAACGGGGAACCGGGAACGGGGAACCGGGAACACGGAACCGTTTCCAGCTCCCAGCGCCTTCCCCGGACCGGCGGCTCCATCCCCGCTCTCCCGTCCGGTCCCCGCAGAACCGGGGGTGCTGCCCGGGACCACCGGCCTTGAGCAGGGCCCGTCCCCTGCGCTCTCCCCACTCAGCCTTTTTCGTTCTCTTTATTTCCTTCCCCTTTCCCCCTTTTTTTTTTATTTCTTCCCTTTTACTTTCTCTATTCCTACAGTTTTAATTCACCTTTTAATTCTATTTATTTTCTTCTTTTTTATTTTGTTGTTTTGGGTTTTTTTTTTTTTTCCTGCTCTGTTTTCCCCCGCTCCGCGCCGTTCCCGTTGTTTCAGGGACGGGCCCAGGCCGCCGCAGGCTCGGACATTCCGCGGCCACTCCAGCCCAAGGCCTTGAGCTCCCGGTGCCCGGCAGAGCCCGAACCGGGCACCTCCCGCCTCCGCCGGGCTCTTCCCGGTTTCCGGGCCGTACCCAGACCCCTGCGGGTCCCCCCAGCCCGGGGCGGTGCCCGGTACCGGGCCGTGGGTGCGGCGGAGCGCAGGGGCTGCAGAATCTCGGGGCTGCTTGTGATTAAAGTTAGTTAATTTATTTTTCATCCACCGCCGTTACAACCGGTCCGATTTGAGACAGAACCGAGGAATTCAAGGCGTTCCCCCCGGCCAGGGGAAGCACCGGCGCCGCTTTTTCCGCCCGTTTTTTGCCCCATTGCGGGGACAGCGGCGGAACGGAGCCCCCCGAGGCGGGGGAGATGCCCGGGACACCCCGATACACACCCGGTCCGGCATTCCCAGCTGGAAACCGGGACCCTCCACGCCCGGTGCCGGTGCCCGGAGCGGTTGTGCCGGATCAGGGAATTTCGGGGATCTCCCCTGCCCCATCCTGGGGTGGCACTGGGGTAACCCCGGTATCAGCGGGGCACGGCGGGGAAGAGGGACCGGAGCCCCCCGATCCCCGCCCGGCCCGGGGAGGGGCAGAGGGATTTTTTTTTATTCGTTTCCACCGCTGGCAGCCTTGCCCCGACCAGGCGGGGGTCCCCAAGGATGAACCCCCTGAGAAAGAACCGGGAACCGGAGCCGCCGCCGCTCTGGGGGCCGGGCAGCGGCCGCCGAGGGGTTCTTTGTTTACCAATCGGTGTCACAGAACGGGAGGGCAGGAAATTGCGTCTCTACCGGGCCGTTTAATTTAAAATCGGCTCTTTCCTTCCCCCCCGGCTCGCCTCCAGCCGCTCCCCGGCGCGGCGGGGGCTCGGCCGCCCGCTCCCCGCTCCCCGCTCCCCGCTGCCGGCTCCGGCGGGGGATGCGCAGCGGAGCGCGGCGGCGGGGGAGGGCCGGGCCGGAGGAATAAGGACCCGGCTTCTTCGCCGGTCCCACCCCCGGCCGCTTCCTCCGCAGCTCCCTCCCCTCGACCTCCCTTTCCCCTCCCGCCCCCCCCCCTACCACCACCACCTCCACCCCCCTAAAATCATCCCCCCCCAATCTGCCGGTATTGATTTCCCCCGCACGCGAATCCCAAGCGCAGCGCGGCGAGCCCGGGCACCGCTGGCAGGTTCCCGCCGCTTCCCCGCCGGTACCGGCACCGACACCGGCACCGGGACCCGCACCGGGACCGGCGCTCCATGGAAGGGCAGCGGGAGCGCCTGAAGTTTGCCCGGAGCGAGGTGCGGCGGGAGGTGGAGCTGGGGAGGGGGCGCGGGGTGGGCGGGTTGGGGGGGCTCGGGCACCTGTCAAAGTTTGAAACTCCTTTCCCCCCCCACCCTCGCACCCTCTCGGGACTCCCTGACGGGTCCCCCCCGCCCCCCCCCACCCCCGGTACCACCCCCGGCCGGCGGGGCGGGGTGGGGGGTGCGCTTTAAATGCCGGCCCCCGGGTGGGAGACGGCGACAAGCGACAGGCGACAGCCCCCGGCGGTCCCCGGCCATGGGGGTGAGCTGGGGCGCCGAGCCCCGGGGGGGGCTGGCGAGGGGCGGGGAGGGGAAGGGGTCTGGGGAGGATGGGGGGGGGGCTCCCTCCCATCCCCCCCGCCCAGCCTTGCCTCCTCTCTCCCTCTCCCCGTGTCTCTCTCTGCCTCCTGATGTTTGATCCCGCCGCGGCGCCCGCAGGGATGAGCGATGGAGGGGCCGAGCCCGGCGGGAGCCCCGTGCTGCTGGCCGAGCCCGCGGCCACCGGGCGGGCCCGGGAGAAGCTGCCGACCCGGGCGGAGCTGGAGAGCGCCCTGCGCACCGGCGGCGGCGGCGGCGGCAGCGGCGGAACCGGCGGCGGCTTCAAGGACATCCCGGGAACGTCGGCGGTCAGCCCCGGCTCCTCCAAGCAGTGCGCCCCGGACACCGAGAGCCCGTCGGGGACCGGCGAGGCGGATTACTGCCGCCGCATCCTGGTGCGAGGTACGAGCCCGCTCCGCGCTCCCCTCCCCGCCTCCCCGCTTCCCCTGCCGGGGGTTCCCTCTCCGGGCACGGGGCATCCCCGGCACCGCTTCCAGCTCATCCCGGGCGCTTCCCGGCTGCCACCTCCGGCCTCCCGGCCCCGCCGCTTGTGCCCCGGTTCCGCTGCGTGCGGCTCGGAGCGGGCCCGCTGCCCCAGCCCGGCTCCGCCGGCAGCGGGCTCGGAGCGGGGCCGTGCCCGGCGGGCGGCCGGGAGGGTTCCAGGGGAGCGGCCCCGGGGTCACGGACCCACCGGGCCGGCGGAACCCCGCGGGGGACGCGCGGGCGGCGGGAGAGGGGGGACAGCATCAGCTCGGCGTTGGAAGCGATGTCGCAGGAGAAAAGCGTCACGGAGCGGCGGCGGGCGAGGGGGGGGTTATTTATTTTTTTTTTTTTCCCCCGTTTATAATATCACCGGCACGGCCCCGGCTGGGGGATCACCGTTGCCCGGAGCCGCCGTGTCTCGAGTCCCGTATCCCACACCCCGCATCCCGCCCCGCCGCCCGCGCTCGATCCCCGCCGGCCCGGGATCACTTCTGGGGTTCTTGTGGCGAACCCCGAGAAGTTTGGGGCGTCCTGGTGCGGCTGTCGCAGGCGGGCGGGTCCCGAGCGCTGCTCTGCTCCGGGACCCCGGGGATGCTCCGCGTTCTCCGCCGCTCCCCCGCCGCTGCCGGAGCCCGGATCAGGGCCGAGGCCTCCCGGTGCTCGGGACCGGAGCGGCGGCCGTGACTTCCCTTCTCACCGGGAGGAACCGGGTCCTTGTTCTATCGTCATTCCGGGCTCGGGCATCCCGGGAAAGCGCCCTGCCGCTCACCGAAGCCTCTGTCCCGGTTGTCGCGATAGGCGCCTTTGCTGACATCCCGGTTGTCCCAGTCCGAACGGGGGACAGCGGCCGAGCAGCGCTCGGGGACGAGCCCCGGGGTCCCACCCGTGATGTCCCCGTGTCCCCGAGGGTCGCCGAGCGGGACTGCCATCAGTCCCGCCGGGGTCAGGCTGGGGTCAGGCCTCTCCTCCGCCCGTTTCAGCCCTACCGAGGCCGCCCCGACGGTACCGGCACCGGGAGAGGGCCGGGGGTCGGTGCCCAAGGCCGGGGCAGGGTCTCCGCTCCCGCCGACCCCGGGAACCCTCACCGGGAGCTCCCGGTTTCACCATCTTGCTGCAGCCGCCACGGTGCGGACAAAATGGTGGCGGGGAGAAAACGCCGCAAATCACCGGGACTGAACCGAAATGAAGCGGGGACAACGTGGCGGGGCCACCGGGGCTGCGGGGACACGGAACCGCCGGTCCACACCCGGCCCGGGCAGGGCCGGGGCCGAGCAGCGGCTGGGCCCGGGCAGAGCCTCCCGGTCGGTTTTGTGCAAAGCGGGAGGTTAAAATGTTCATTTTTATGTTATAAAATTATTTTATTTTAATGTTTTGAGTTTCGCCCTTGCTGCTTGCCCAGGGAAAGGGGCTCTGCCAGCCCCGGCCCCGGTGAGGAGCGGCTGCCGCGGAGCTGTCGCCAGCCCCGGTACAGCCCCGGTGCAGCCCCGGTGCTGTCCTCGGTCTTTCGGTGAAGTCGGGGGGTCCTGGTGACCCCCTCACATCGGTGGGATCCTCTCATCGCCGGTCTCGCGATACCCGGGATGGTCCGTGCGGGACGGAGCCACCCGGTCACCTCCCGGTCACCTCCCGGCCATCCCCGTCTCGTCGGGGGTGGCTCCCGGAAATAAACAGGACAAGAAGGGACCTGGGCAGCCCCGGGGCCGGTCCCGCTGTCACCACGGCCACTACAGCCCCACGGATCTGGGGACACATCTTGGGATGTCCCCCCCGTTCCTCCCGGTCACCTCCTGGGGCTGGCCCAGGCCTGGGCCCGGTGGCCACAGAGCACGTGGAGGGACCCCGGTGGCGTTTGGTGCCACCATGGCCACCCCATGGCACGGAGGGGACATCCTGGGGGGTGCCGGGGGGACTGAGTGCCCCAAAAGGTCCTGGCAGGTGTGTTGGTGTGGGGACTCAGGTGGGCACGGGGTGTCCCTGTGCCAGGAAAAGGTGTCCCCATGGATTTTGGGTGTCCTCTGCTCTTTTAGGGGATTTCAACCCCGGTCCTGTCCTGGCTCCAGAGCCACCAGGTGTATCCGGGTCCCCAAGATCAGGACATGTCACCAGCGAGGCCCAAGGCTCCGGAACCCCCTGGCTAGCTCCAGCAGGACCCTGGAATTGTTGGGGGCTCCAGAATGGGAAAAAGCTCTCGGGAGAGGGATTCCAAAGGCTGGAATGGGGGCTGGCCTGAGCACCCCAAAACCCTGGGGAAGGTCAGCAGGGCTGGCACGAGGGCTTTGGTGTCCCCTGTGCCGAGCTGACACCGCGGCCGTGCCCTTTTCCCTGCCGTCCCTCCGGAGCTGCTCCAGCTGCTGTGGGAATAACAATAAATAATACCCGAGCCGGAGCCCAGGGCGCAGCTGCGGCCCCGGATCCGGCAGCCCCGGCGTTCCCGGCTCTTGTTGTGCCAGGGCCGTGGCGCGGGCACGGACGTGGGCACGGATGTGGGCACGGGAGTGCGGACGTGGCCTGGGCATCGTCACCGTCACGGCTCTTCCCACACAAAATGGTTCCCGGCACTGATCCCGCCGGAAAAGCCGCTGATCCGCCTACAACCCCTTTCCTTCCCGGCGGCTCTGCTCCAGCCTTGGGGTTTGGGGTGTGGGCCCGGTGTCACCACCCCCTGTGCCACCCTGGATGTCCCCAAACTCTCGGGACTCGTTCGGTGCCGCGTTCTGGGATGGTGCCTCGGCCGTGTCCCGCAGCTCCGCGGTGGGAAAGCGGCTCCGGGATTTGGGTCCCTTTCCCAAATCGGGGTTTGGTCCCAATTCCCACCATCCTGGTGACGAATCCATCGCCCTCATCTCAGCTCCTCCGGCCTCTTCTCGGCTCTGCCAATCCTATGGCAGTGTCACCATTACAATCCCGGTGCCACCATTACAATCCTGGTGCCACCATTCCCATCCCAGTGCCGCCATTACAATCCCAGCGCCCCATTCCCATCCCGGTGCTGCCGTTCCTATCCCAGTGCCACCATTCCCATCCCCATGCCACCGTTCCCATCCTGGCATCACCATTCCCATCCCACTGCCACTACTCTGATCCTAGTGCCACCATTCCCATCCCAGTTCCACCATTCCCATCCCAGTGCCACCATTCCCATCCCAGTGCCACCATTCCCATCCCAGTGCCACCATCCTCATCCCATCTCTGCTGTCCCCACCCCATTCCTTGTGATTTTCGCTGTTTTCCTCTTTCCTATCCCTGGAATTTTACAATCCCTTCATGCCCCCCTCACCTGGAGGGAGGGAAAGCCATTGACCTCCAACTGAGATCCCTCTGAAATTGGGATCCAGCATCCCAAAATCAGGGCCTGGCTTGGGGCTTGGAGTAAATTCCTGGAGGGATTTTAACCCTCTGGGGGATCTGCAGGGAGGGCTCACCCAAACCGAGCCAGGATTTGGGATCTGGGAAGATCCCAGCGGGCGATTCCCGAGGCTCATTTTAATTCCTGGGAGCTGGGACAGAATTCCTGTTGATTTTTTTTGGTGGAGGCTCCTCCAGAATCGCTTCCCTGAGATGGAGCCAAATCCTCAAGATTTGCTTTCCCTGGACATTCCCAACCTCATAAAATCCACGGCCGGGAGCAGCTCGGTGCCCACAGCGCTTCCCAAATTTGTCCTTTAATAGGAAACCACCCTAAAATGGGAGCTGAGCCTCCCAAGGAAATATTCCTTCAGTGAGGATAATTCTGGAGAGATGGGAATTGTTACAAAGGTGAATTTTTTTCCAGTATTCCCAAGGAAGGACAGAAATCAAAAATTATATTAGAATTCGAGAAAAAATATTTTTAATTCGAATTTTTCCTCGGCATAAATCTCTTGTTTGCTCCTGGCCTTCCAAAATATTATTTCCAGGATGGAAAACTCCGTTTTCCCAAAAAAAGTTTATGGCTTTCATTTATGTCTTTTAAAAACCTTAATTCATGGAGATTCGTGGCCTTTCCCTGGATATTTATAAACTCTCCGCTTCTGGGGCCGGAGGGAAGAACCAAGCCACGATTTAGCTCCAGCTTGTGGGAGTTCCATGGATACCCCACATCCACGTGGAGTTTTATTTCCATGTATTTATTTTCCATTTGTTTTCAGTTTAATTCTCCATTTATTTTCTCTTATTTTCCGTTTATTCTCCCTTTATTCTCTGTTTATTCTCAATTTTAATTCCATTTATTCTCCGTTTATTCTCCGTTTCTTCTACGTTTATTCTCTGTTTATTCCCCATTTATTTTCCCTTTATTCTCCATTTTAATTACACTCATTTTCCATTTGTTCTCCGTTTTAATTCCATCCATTCTCCATTTATTCCCCATTTTAATTCCATTCATTTTCCATCCATTCCCCGTTTGAATTCCATTCACTCTCCATTTATTCTCTGTTTTAATTCCTTTCATTTTCCGTTTATTCCCTGTTTTAATTCCTTTCATTTTCCGTTTATTCTCTGTTTTAATTCCTTTCATTTTCCGTTTATTCTCCGCTTTAATTCCATTTTTTTCCCTATTTTAATTCCATCCCTTTCCCCTTTCCCCGCCTCAATAAACAACCGCGTTCTCGCATTTTTGCACCGATTCCTTCCGTTTTTTTTTTTTATTATTTTTTTTTTTTTTTCCCCTGATGGTTCTCCCAATTTCCCACCCAGATGCCAAAGGGACGATCCGGGAGATCGTGCTGCCCAAGGGGCTGGACCTGGACCGGCCCAAGCGGACGCGGACGTCCTTCACGGCGGAGCAGCTCTACCGCCTGGAGCTGGAATTCCAGCGCTGCCAGTACGTGGTGGGCCGGGAAAGGACGGAGTTAGCGCGGCAGCTCAACCTCTCCGAGACGCAGGTGAGACTCGCGGTGGGGACGTCGCGGTGGGGACGTCACGGTGGGGACATTGTGGTGGCTCCTCTGCGTTGTGGACGTCGCGGTGGGGATGTCACCACGGCCCCTCCACCTTGGGGATATCGCAGGGGTTTCTCTGCGTTGGGGACACCGCGGTGGGGACGTCGCGGTGGGGACATCG